GTATAAGATGAGATAAAATGCTACAGTAAATCCGGTGATGTAACAACTTAACAAGGTATAAGATGAGATAAAATGCTACAGTAAAGCCAGTGATGTGACAACTTAACAAGGCATATGATGAGATAAAATACTACAGTAAATCCGGTGATGTAACAACTTAACAAGGTATAAGATGAGATAAAATGCTACAGTAAAGCCAGTGATGTGACAACTTAACAAGGTATAAGATGAGATAAAATACTACAGTAAAACCAGTGATGTGACAACTTAACAAGGTATAAGATGAGATAAAATACTACAGTAAAGCCAGCAATGTGACAACTTGACAAGGTATAAGATGAGATAAAATACTACAGTAAAGGCAGTGATGTGACAACTTAACAAGGTATAAGATGAGATAAAATACTACAGTAAAACCAGTGATGTGACAACTTGACAAGGTATAAGATGAGATAAAATACTACAGTAAAGTCTTGGGCTCCTTAACTTAGGAAGGATATTGAATTGTTGGAAAGGGTTCAGAGGAGGGTTACTAGAATGGTACCTGGGATGGAGGGGTTGTCACATGAGGAGAGATTAAGATCTTTGAAATTGCTTTCTCTTGAAAAAAGAAGTTAGAAGGGATCTGATTGAGGTGTGTAAAACTGTAAAGGGAATTGATAAGGTTGATGTATCATGTATTTTCATACTTAACGACGAGAATAGTACGACTAGGGGATGTAAGTATAAATTTTGACAAGTTAGGAGTCAAGTATATTTAGACATTGGTTAAACATATATATATTATATTGTACAACATGGTAATTTACTATTTTAAAAACGGATATACGTTTGAATAATGATAAGTTCTGCCTTTTTTTCTTTATTAGAATACGTTAATGTTAAAGTGACCACATGTCATGATTCATGTGTTGTTTTCGTACAAACCGTTTACATCTTCATGTTATCGATAATATTCAGGGCTTGTTCTCAAGCGGGAAGTTACACTACACCAATGAGAAACGTTCGTTAAGGTGAACGTGGAAACGCATGTGATTGAAACGTGACGCCGTTGGTTGCCTACGTGCCTAAGTGCATGCAAGCACATGCCTGACGAAAAGAACACTCCACCTGCACTAAAGCGCCAAACCCGTATTAGTAACGGCGCATACAACGAAAATCTGAACAAACAGCTTTATTAATAATGGTTGGAGACGGCTTGAATGGGTAATGAAGAAAAACTTTGATATAAGTTTAACATAACAGCTTTATTTATGAATATCTTTTTATTACTAACGCAGTTACGATAAAGGTTAAGGTTATATTTTCAAGTATAAATGTTTGTGGCTCACAAGATGTGGCAGATATGTTTGGTTTCTCTATAAAGTTGCCATTTTCAGTATGCAATTTCACATAATAATTGTAGCAATAAAAAATTTCTGACAACTATACTAATACCTCAAAAACTTAATAACCTTGGAATAACAATTTTTAATATTAGAAAGAAAAAATTAAATATCTGAGTGATAAGAAATGTCCTGATCATTTTGACAAACAGCAAACAATATTAAATG